GCTGGGGATTCCAACACATTCAGGCAAATAAAGAAGACCAGGCGCTGGGGGGGAAGGCTTGGCTGGGCGGTCCATTCCTGGAAGCCATATGGTAGGAGGAGAGAACCGACTCCTTCAAGCTGTCCTGATCTCTACCCATGAACCTACACACTATACACACAGACACATGTGTGTATGCACAAGTACACATAAACACACATGTGCACACATAAAGGAAAGAAGAACTGAAAGGAATTGTGTTTATTGCATTGGGGGCTTCTGGAAGCCTGGGGCCCTTAGCATAGATGGGCCCCTTGTCCCTCCTATGCATAGATGGGTCAAGGGGGGGGGTGGAGTGTGTGGGTGCCACTCTGGGCACATCCTGAGTCACAAGGGGGTGTGGCCAGTGGAGAGGCGGGTGAACCCCAGCCCTGGGACATAGCCTCCTCCATCCGTGGCAGGGAACCCAGACAGAGACACAGTGAGACCTGGAAGGAGTTGTGCTGGGATCCCTGCTACTGTGCTGGCTGAGGGGCGAAGGGTTCCAGCTCCAGGCCAGCCTGGGCTATAGCAATGAGTTCAAGAGCAGCCTGAGTGACTTAGGGAGCCCAGGTCTCAAAGAAAAATCCGAAAAGGCGTGGTACGGTATGTGCAAGCCTGGGTGCGGCCCCCAGCATATAAAGAAAGAAAACAAAACAGAAAAATCCCAACATGTGTGGTTCCTACAAGCACCTCTCTGGTCCCATGCCCTCGGGTCAGCTGGGGACAGCCTCGGTCTTCACCCTTTTGGGGGGCCTCCGGGATACAGGGCTGTCAGGATCTGGCTTATACACAGCGTGCACTGAGCCGTTGAGATGCACAGGGGGCTCAGCCTTGGGTGCAGCAGGGCGCGGCAGGGGCGGCAGGGCCTTGTCCAGCACGCAGGGTCCCTCCCAGGTGGGGATCTCCAGGCCCAGATGCTTCATGAGTTTGCTCATCACCTCGTCCACATAGCCATGGATGCGCAGGTCGGCCTGGCGGTCCTGTCGGGGTGATGGATGGTCAGGCCGGGGCAGAGGACACTGCAGGGGATATGGGGTCACAGGGCAGGGCACTGGCACATACGTGTTTTGTGGGCTGCAGATTGACAATGACCAGACGACCTCCCCGGCGCTTGGTGGCAAGGGGCAGGTTCCCACTGGGGCGGATCTGCAGCGAGGTGCCCAGGGTGACTGACAGGTCTGCGGTCCTGGGAGCAGGAAGCAGTGAGGGCCTGGGGCGTGGTCAGGGTGGGGCCCCGCCTAGAATCCTCCATAAACGGCTGGGGGCGTGGTCAGGGTGGGCTCCGCCCCCCGCCCCCGAATCCCCAGTGAGAAGCTGGCTCTGTGCCATGGGCTTGTTGTATCTCCCCTCCCCACTACAGAAACTCTGAAAATAAGGAACCAAACAAACCTAATCTTCCGGTGTCCCAGGTTCTCCTCTGCATCTATCCTGCCCAGGGGTGTGGGTGATGCAGGCGCCACCTCTGCTGTCCCCACCCATTCCCACCCAGGGAGCGCCGGGTCACACCTGCTGGCCTCGTCAGCGAGCATCAGGTCCCGGTCAGGCAGCGAGTCCTCCCAGTCCAGAATGGTGTCCCTCAGCTCCCCCCTGTGGCAGGTCAGGGAAGGGAGTCAGGGCCTTCACCTCCAGACAGGAGCAGGCTCAAAGAAAGTCACTCACCTACAAGCCCGAAGTCCCCGCGCCTTGGCCACCGTGCAGAGCCGGCCTGTGGCCTTGAGGCCCATGGTGCCCACGACTGTGTCTCTCACGTATTGCCTGGGCAGGGAGGAAGGAGGAGATGTGCCCTTTTTGGTGCTCTTTCAAGTATCCGGGGGTGGTGTAACCAGTGTATTGGGGTACAGGTTCAACCCCTGAGCTACACAGCAGGACTGAGGGACAGGCAGAAAGATGGCTCAGTCTGGAAAGGGCTTGCCATGCAGACAGGAAGCCCTGAATCTATGTGAGAAAGAGGGCTCCTGGAGCAGACTTAACTCTCCAATGCTACGGAGGCTGAGATGGGGACCCCAGGAGTTCGCTGGCCACTCAGCCAAACCAGTGAGTTCTGGAAGACTCTACCTCAGAACACAAGGAGAGGCCCTGAGTTAAGACACCTGACGCCGGCTTCTGGCACCCATACACCGGGAGCGAGTGGGAGGGAGGCAGCTAAGCCCAACGTGATGGCTCACACGTGGGATCTTGGCGCCCAGGAGGCTGAGGCAGAAGGAAGGCAGGTTCCAGGCTAACCTGGACAACTTAGGGAGGTCCCCTTTGAAAAAGAGCCCCTGGAGAAGGTCCAGGGGCTGAGGCTCAGAGGCATGGCTTATGCCTAACGCCCCGGGGCTCTTGGGTAAAGCCATGCAATTGCCCAGCTAGAGCCACAGCAGGCCGGAGCAGGGGGAGCCCCTCATTTCCAAGGGCACGGCTTGTACCACCCTGTTCTGTAGTTCCTTGCTTGGGGGACGCGAAGGTATGCTTGCCTTCTTCTGGTTCGTCAGTTTTTATCTGACTGTCCCTGGGAACAGGGACATCTCCCAGCCTTCTGTAGGGGCATTTTAGGTTTTAGGATCCCTTATCTGGCTGAGGGGGTGGGGGTGGAGGGAACGACCTGGGGGTGCCCCATCCTGGGAGAGCCTGGCAAAGCTTCACCCCGCCCCCCACTGGCGACACTCACGTCTTACACTTGGGACATTCCTCCACGAACATGTTTCCGTGGAGCTCAGCCAGCTTGTCTCTGTGGAAGAGAAAGTGAGTTCGGAGCCTTCCTAAATCCTGAGGCTTGGGTCAGCTGCTCAGCCTGCCCCCTCCTCCAGGAAGCCTTCCTGAGCTGCTCATCCACAAGACCAGGGACTTCTCACGTCTAGGGAGGATGCCCCAGCCTGTGCCAGTCAGAGGAACTGTCACAGGCAGAGTTGACCTTCTCTCTGCAAACACACAAATACCTGCTCCCCACTACAAAAATCTGTTGGCCAACTGTATGTGGTGGCCCACGTCTTTTAACCGCAGCACTTGGAAGGCAGAGAGAGGTGGAATTCTGTGATATCAAGGCCAGCCTGGTCTACAGAGTAAGTTCCAGGACAGCCAGCGCTAGACAGAAAAATCCTATCTCGAAAAATGGTTAAAAAGAAAAAAAAAATCTGTTGGCCTTAGAGTGCCCGCCTAGAGTCCCCCAGTGATCAAGTGCTGGCCGGCTTTGGGCTCTGAGCTCTTCTGCTCTTCGCCTTTTTCCATCGCCAGTAAAATGCCTGTGAGCTCGGGCACCCGGGTTCCCAGAGGAGGAAGAGGTGCAGCTGAGCCCCACGCCCCCTGGTCTGCTTCCACCTGACCTGGGGAAGCCGGAGCGTACGTGCAGCCCGTCCACGTTCTGGCTGACCAGGAAGCTGAGGAAGCCCCTGCGTTCCAGCTGCACCAGGGCCATGTGGGTCTTCGAGGGCCGGGCACTCTCGAAGGTGGTGTCAAACTTGGGGGCCAGGCCACGCTCCTCCATGGTCCACACGCCGTGGGGGCCTCTGAGGACAGCGAGCAGAGGGAGGAGGACAAAATTCATTTTTCAGCCCACGGACGACTCCTGTTAGTCAGTCCATGCTGGTGATGCTGGGGTCCCAGTGGTCCCCAGTCCTGCTCTTGGGTTGCTTAGGACTCTCTTGGGGAGAGGCGGGCAACCTGGCGGACAAGGGCTCTGTGGAGTGGGAAAGACCTAGGGGTAAGCAAAGGCATGGGAGTTCATTGGGGTTGAGGTCCGGTTTCCCAGAATGCTTTGCTGTGGTCACGGTGATCTTATAAACCCCAACAGGTGGGTGGCCACGCAAAGGGTACATTTTCCAGCATCCCTTGCGGCTACTACATCATCTGGGTATGTTCTGTGTATTGGGCATGTGACGTGTTCGCTGGGCCTTCCAGAGACCTAGGGGAACGGAAAGGTCGCTCTCCCACTTCACCTCGGTCCCAGAGGTATCAGCAAGAGCCCTGCCTCAGTTTCCCCTCCTTGCTCACGGACCTGAAGTCGGGGATGCCAGAGGCGGTGCTGATGCCGGCGCCCGTGTGGAAAACCACGCTGGAGGACTGCCACATCAGCCTTGCCAGCTCCCATACCTTCCGCTCCAGCTCCTCTGGGGGGTCGAAGATCTGTGGGGTCAGAGGGCATGCAACACGTGACTCCCGTGGGTGGGCTTCCTGCGGTCGGTGCTGTCACTCTCCCCCGCCCGTGGCCTTTGCACGCGCTGCGGGCACCCACTCCCCTTCCCTGACACCCCGTGACGTCACCTCTGACCCCTGACCTCAGATAACCCTGTCTCTCCTACATCAAGATGCCATCGGATCTGTCTACAGGCTCCAAGAACACAAGCCGAGCGTGACCCCAACACTCGGGAGGCAGAGGCCGGGGGATCTCTGTGAGTTCGCGGCCAGCCTGGGCGCGGAGAGGCTCCTCTCCCCCTACCCTCGGGGTCGCGAGGCCAGCCCGGCTGACGCGGGTGCCCCGGACGGGGTGCCGGCTTCCGGTCCCGTGGACCCCAGTCTCCCGACAGGCGCACCCGGTCGCTTCCCCGCCACGCTCGCCCCTTCGCGGAACCGGGTACCTCGGTGTCCCCCAGGACGCGCGGGGGGCGTCACTTCCCGCCCCCTCCTTGCAGGGAAGTCCCCCCCATTGTCTAGATCCCGTGCTTCTCGCTGCTCGCGCAATGCCCCACTGCGCCGCGCCGCCCCCATCTGGGGTCATTTGGCGAGCCGGACACCGCGGCCCTCACCTCGGGCAGCCCACACTTGCCCTTATCCGCGTACGGCGACAGCCCGGCTGCATAGTTCACCGACATCCTCGTCGGCACAGCAGCACGGGAACAATAAAGTTTCCCTTGTTGAGGTGGCTTCCGCCGGAAGTGGGGAAGGGACGGCTCAGGAAGAGGAGCCGCCTCCTCTAGAGGTCGGGAGGCGTTCTTTCAAGGCGCATGCGCTGTGCTGATGACGCGGCTGCCATCTTTAGTGCTGGCAGATACTACCTGGCCGACTGATGAGCGTTCTCCCGGTCTGGCTGGGCCAGTTCTGGACCAGAAAGTTGTTGCGGCCGCTCGCAGGAGCCGAGGCAGGAGGATTGCGAGTCCCAGGCCAGTCTGACTGTGTAGAGAGACCCTGTTTCTAAAAAGAGACACAACCATCAACAAAATCCATTAAAATAGGCTTTTGCTCAGTGGGCAGAGCCCAGTCCCTGGTGCCTAGAGCCGGTGCGGGCTTCATGACACCATAGGGCAGCTCTTGGGTCTCTGCTGTGTGACTGTCAGCCCGTGTCTGCCTCTCTCTGGGCCACAGGATAGGATGAATGGGAACTTGGGTTCTCGGGCCCAGTAAAGACCCCCAGGACTACCTGCCAACATTTTCTCGGCTTTGTTTCTGGGGTGCATCTCCCGGGATAGCACAGAGTTTCAGGGTCAGGTCCCCAGAACGAGATGCCGAGAGATGGAGAAGGGGATATTGGGGGCACAAGGACCCCCTGTGATCCCCCGTCCCTTGGTCATCTATGCAGTAGGAACCACCATCCTGACCCTTGTTGGTGGTCACAGACAGTATCAAAGCGTGGTGATGATGACTGGGGACCCGGTGACGGGCAGCACGTAACTACAGGAACCTCCTGATCCCCGTGGGGACACCCAAGGAAGGCTTCCCGGCGGCGGGAGCGCACAGGCTGGAGGGAGAGGCGGTCCTCCGGGCTGCCCACCTGAGCAGGCTGGCCAACAACAGCTCACCTCGGCTCATCCGGTCCTCCTGGGCGGGTGCTCCCCCCCCCAACCTGATCGGGTATCACCCTGACTCCGCTGCTGGCAGCTCGTACCTGGAGCGGGTAACCAGAGAGGCTGCGGTGGACGCAGGGCTCTGGCCTGGAGTCGCCTGAGGTAGGGGGATGAGGCTGGGGGAGGCCAGGGCAGACGCTGCCCTGGGTCCCGAGGAAGGGGAGGCCTGGGTCCTGGTGCCGCCCCGCGGGGGACTGCCTGCGACACCCTGAACACATGCACTTACGCACTCGTGATAGGTGCACGCGTCCCACCCGACAGCTGCGGCCCTGGATCAGTGCGCAGCCTCCACCCTGAACCGTTGTGGGGACCCACAGGCCACTGGACCTGTGCTGCTGTCACCTCTTCTAGAAGGGAGACCCCTAAATCCACAGACCTTCCCTGCCCCCATCCCGCGATTCCCTCCTGACTGGCAACCTGTGGACAACTCTCCTGGGTGTCCTGTTACTCACCCTTGGGTGTGATTGAACTCTATAGTTGGGGGGTGAGAGTGAACCATCACACTGAGTAGCAGAGGGGGTAGGAAGGATGGACGGATGGGTGTGTGGGCGGATGGATGGGTGGATGGATGGATGGATGGGTGTGTGGATGGGCAGATGGATGGATGGGTGTGTGGATAGGTGGATGGACGGACGGACGGGTCGATGGGTAGATGGATGGATGGACAGACTGATGGGTGGGTGGATGGGTGGATGGATGGGTGGGTGGGTGGGAGGGTGGATGGGTGGATGGGTGGGTGGGTGGGTGGATGGATGGATGGGTGGATGGGTGGATGGATGGGTGGGTGGATGGGTGGATGGGTGGGTGAATGGGTCTACACTGAATAGATTGCTCTTGTTTACCAAGAGTAGTGGCAAGTGTGATTGGCTTTCCTACAAGGGACTGAGAGTCCAGTGTCTCCTCCTTTTTACCCCTAGTAAAAAGCCTGTCACTGGGCAAACCTGGAAGAAGCCTGGTGGCTGCTCCTTGCTTAGAAGCCAGGTTAGAGGCAGAGGAAGTGACCTAGTTGTGGAGAATGCAGGACATTCCACTTGGGGGGTAGAGTTCATTCTGTCTGGGAGACAGAACACTGATGAGCACATAGGGTTTTATGACTCGGTGTACAGAGAAGCGGGGAAGGTTCTTAACATCAGTGGCTGATGCAGAAGAACAGGACGGTGGTGTGAGCTGATGCAGAAGCACAGGATGGTGGTGTGAGTAAAAGCACAGGATGGTGGTGTGAGCTGATGCAGAAGCACAGGATGGTGGTGTGAGCTGATACAGAAGCACAGGATGGTGGTGTGAGCTGATGCAGTACAGGACGGTGGTGTAAGCTGATGCAGAAGCACAGGATGGTGGTGTGAACTGATGCAGAAGCACAGGATGGTGGTGTGAGCTGATACAGAAGCACAGGATGGTGGTGTGAGCAGAAACACAGGATGGTTGTGTGAGCTGATGCAGAAGCACAGGATGGTGGTGTGAGCTGATGCAGAAGCACAGGATGGTGGTGTGAGCAGAAGCACAGGAAGGTGGTGTGAGCTGATGCAGAAGCACAGGATGGTGGTGTGAGCTGATGCAGAAGCACAGGATGGTGGTATGAGCTGATGCAGAAGCACAGGAAGGTGGTGTGAGCAGAAGCACAGGATGGTGGTGTGAGCAGAAGCACAGGATGGTGGTGTGAGCAGAAGCACAGGAAGGTGGTGTGAGCAGAAGCACAGGATGGTGGTGTGAGCAGAAGCACAGGATGGTGGTGTGAGCAGAAGCACAGGATGATGGTGTGAGCTGATGCAGCACAGGATGGTGGTGTGAGCAGAAGCACAGGAAGGTGGTATGAGCTGATGCAGAAGCACAGGATGGTGGTGTGAGCTGATGCAGAAGCACAGGATGGTGGTGTGAGCAGAAGCACAGGATGGTGGTATGAGCTGATGCAGACGCACAGGAAGGTGGTGTGAGCAGAAGCACAGGATGGTGGTGTGAGCAGAAGCACAGGATGGTGGTGTGAGCAGAAGCACAGGATGGTGGTGTGAGCAGAAGCACAGGAAGGTGGTGTGAGCAGAAGCACAGGAAGGTGGTGTGAGCAGAAGCACAGGATGGTGGTGTGAGCAGAAGCACAGGATGGTGGTGTGAGCAGAAGCACAGGATGGTGGTGTGAGCAGAAGCACAGGAAGGTGGTGTGAGCAGAAGCACAGGATGGTGGTGTGAGCAGAAGCACAGGATGGTGGTGTGATCTGATGCAGCACAGGATGGTGGTGTGAGCAGAAGCACAGGATGATGGTGTGAGCTGATGCAGCACAGGATGGTGGTGTGAGCAGAAGCACAGGATGGTGGTGTGAGCAGAAGCACAGGATGGTGGTGTGAGCAGAAGCACAGGATGGTGGTGTGAGCAGAAGCACAGGAAGGTGGTGTGAGCAGAAGCACAGGAAGGTGGTGTGAGCAGAAGCACAGGATGGTGGTGTGAGCAGAAGCACAGGATGGTGGTGTGATCTGATGCAGCACAGGATGGTGGTGTGAGCAGAAGCACAGGATGATGGTGTGAGCTGATGCAGCACAGGATGGTGGTGTGAGCAGAAGCACAGGATGGTGGTGTGAGCAGAAGCACAGGATGGTGGTGTGATCTGATGCAGCACAGGATGGTGGTGTGAGCAGAAGCACAGGATGATGGTGTGAGCTGATGCAGCACAGGATGGTGGTGTGAGCTGATGCAGAAGCACAGCGTCTGAGCCAGGGAGGAATTATCTCCTCTTTTTACAGTTGAGGACAGTTCCCTCAGAGAGGGCAAGTGCCCTGCCCAGGGACACACAGCAGAGAGGGTAGCAGATCTGCCCACGCAGGGGCTGGCAGTGCAAGAGGAAGACAGAGGCTGGGCTGTGCAGGGTGCTGTGGCCCCAGCCAACACCCTCCCTTACTCCATCCCTCTCTTCCCCAGAGACAGGACAAGAGCCCCTAACTGGTATGATGAAGACCCTTCGGGCAAGGTTCAAGAAGACAGAGGTGAGTCCACCGCTTGGGGAGGGAGGGCATGAACCCTGTCTAATCTCCTGCTTGAACCGCCACAGTAGCTCAGAACCCAGGGCTCTGCCTTTAGGCCTCCCCACCCCCTCCCCATGAGCCCAGAGCAGCTTCATGGACCAGTGTTGTTTTTCTACTAGCCAAATGCTACCCTTCACATGGGTCCACTGACTCCTCTGATGGCCCCACTCTGGCCTCCCCCAGAGATGGAAGCAGGACCTTTGTGCCTGTTAGCAAGGTGTCAGCGAGGTACCTCCAACTCTCTCCACCTGTTTTCATTTGAACCCCTGAATTCAGTGACTCCACAGGGATTCCCAGGTGCTCTGCGCAGTCAGCCCCTGTCTCACCCTCACATGGATTCTTCAAGGAATGAACTTATGTTGTCTGCATTTCAGAGATGAAGGGAGGCTCAGAGAGGCTCAAAGTCACACAGCTCTAAAGGGTCCTGCCTCCTGTAGGGGCCAGGCATCTGTGGGTGTGACCTGCATGGGGAAATGGAGATGGAAGGGTTTGTTCAGAGAGAGAGGGGGGAGGGGAAGGGGGAGGGAGAGAAGGAGGGAGGGAGGAGAGAGAGAGAGAAAGAGGAGAGAGAGAGAGAGAGAGAGAGAGAGAGAGAAGCTTTCCTACACAGCTACACAGGCTGGACTGGCCCCTGATATCTTCCGCCTGGCCCCTCATTTCCTCCGATACATTTTTCACAGAAACCCTGGGAATCACAGCCAGTTGGAAACCCAGTTACTGCAAAAGCCAAGTAAAGGGCTGACAAGATGGCTCAGAGGGGAAAGGTGTTGCAGCCAAAGCGTTTCCTGTGTCCTGCACAGCTGTGTGGGCACCGCATGTGTGCAGTACCCATGGAGGCCGGAAGGGGGCGTCGGGTCCCCTGGCGCTGGAGTCGCTGGTGGTTGTGAGCCCAGCGTGGTCCTCTGCAGGGGCAGCCCTTGCGCTGACCTCTCCTGAGTTTGATTCCCAGAACCCACTGGGGGAAGGAGGAAAAGGACTCCTCAAAGTTGCCCTCTGACCTCTGTCGTCATGCACCCACTCGCGCATCCACATAAATATAAATTTTAAATTAAAGGAAAAAATAGTTTTTGAAAAGCTGAATTAGGGCAGCTGTGATGGCGCACGCCTTTAATCCCAGCACTCTGGAGACAGAGGCAGGCGGATCTCTGAATTCGAGGCTAGCCTGGATTACAGAGTGAGTTCCAGGACAGCCTGGACTACACTGAGAAACCCTGTTTGGGAAAAAGATCTATCTATTTAAAAGCTGAATTATTTCAAAATCTTGCAGCCCACCCCTGATGAGAAACACCTAGTTTGGGGTGGGAAGCAGGTGTATTTCCATGGGTTGCTGAAGGGGCAGCTTCGGGGTGGGAGGAGCGGTAGTGGGGGTGTGGGAGTGGGGCGCTCGCCAGCCTGGGCAGCAGATGGGAGACCTGGGCCGCCTCTGCCCGCCCTTCTCCGGTTTCCGCACAGCAGCCAGAATGAAGCTCCGCTTTTGTCAAGGCAGCCTCGGGGGAAGAAAGCGAACACCCGTGGCTTCTGGGTTCCCTCCTGGGGCAGGCAAGCGCCAAGCTGTATTCCAGCAGGTGTCCCCACGCTGTCCTTCCAGGCTCCAGCAGGGGCGCAGCTGGGCGCAGCGGGCTCTGGGTCTTCCTTGTTTAGAGTTGGAATTACCTTATGGGGCCTCTCACCGACCTTCTGATCTTATTTGAGAAAATCCCTTCAGGGCAATGAGGAGGCTTGTAGAGGTTTGCTGGTGCTGTCCTGATAGCTCAGGCTGGACTTGAACTCACAACCCTACCACCTCAGCCTCCTGAGTGCTGAGACATCCACACCCAGCTCAAAGTATTCATTCTCTCTCTCTCTCTCTCTCTCTCTCTCTCTCTCAAAGTTGGCATATATGTGTGTGTCCGCACGTGTGTGTGTGCCAGGACTCCCCATAGAGAATGACACAACGACACACCAGCCCAGTGCCCAGAGTGTTGAGGGACAGGAAGGCAGGATTGGTTTGTTAGGGAAACATTCGTAACTGCAAGGACTGGGTGAGACCCTCACTTCAGAGTTCTGCCTGTCTGGAAACTCCACATCCCACAGTTCCTGTCCTGTCCCCAAGACACTTTCTATAGTACCAACCACTTGCACAGAAGCCACGGAACTGGAGAGGGCTTGCCTTGGCTCTGAGTCTCCAAGGCATCCAGCAGTCACCTGATAAATGCTGAACAGCAGAGCCTCTGCCCAGGGTGCCCCTGTCCCCCAGTCCCCGAGCAGCAGATCGTGGGATGCATCTGTGTGTCCTGCGTGGAGGGCAGCCAAGGCGGGACAGGTGCCCACAGACCCCGGAGACAGAAACGCAGGCCGCACCCCTGCACTGAAAGGTTGGTCTAATGAATTGCGCAGGCATCGCTCCATGTGTCCGGTGAGTGAAGCAGCTTTTACTGTGTTCTCACTGTGTACCAGGCCCGTGCGGGGTGGTGCGTCCCGCTCAGCTGGCAAGTCTAGCTGAATCCCAGTGCGCACGTGAGGAGGGCGGAGGCCCTAGTAGGTGAGCTCTAGGTCAGGCCCATAGGTGGATAGGGGCGAGGTAGGCGCGGGATTCCATTTCAGAGTGAGAGCCGCTGGGCCGGAGCAAATGGTGGAAGAGTGGATGGACGGGTGGGCTAGAGGAGTGAGCGGGCGAAGGGAGGAGGAGTGAGCCACTGAATGTGCCCATGAAAAGATGAGTTAGTGAATGGGGGGCGGGAATTAACGAGAGACGGGAAAGGTGAATGAAAGGATTAACAAATATGTGAATGGATGAGTAAACGGTTGGGAGACGAAGTGTGAATGAATGATGGGCCAGCTGCCAGGCGAGGGGTGGGGGCGGGGTTGAGCCTGGGGAGGAGGTGGGAGGGGCCTGAGCGAGGGTGGGGGTGGGGAGGGTGAAGCTGGGCGGAGCCTGTGCTTGAGGAGGAGGGCGTGGCCACGAGTCTAGGGGGGAGTGGGCGTGGTCTGGTCTGGCCTGGTCCCATCCCTTCGCCATGAAGCAGCTGTGCCTTTGCGCATCCGCCTCCTTCGCGGTAGGCGTTTGGGTCCCTTTGCGCCTTCCCTTCTTCTCAGGAAGATGCTCGGCGGGGGGCGGGGGGCGGGGCAGCTGCGGGGCGCGGGCCGGACGTGGAGGGCGGCGCCGAGGGTCTCTGTGCTCGCGCGGGGTCAGCCGAGCATTGCGGGATGCAGGTCTTGGAGGACACTGCGGACAATGACTTGGGAACCTGGGCATATTTGTGGCGCAGCTCTACCGTCCAGGCCTTAATGCTACAGGGGACGGTGGGACCTTGGCTGTGAAGGGCGGGGAGGTAGTGGCGTCAATGGGCGCTGGAGGATGTTTTGGGAAAGGCCAGTCACCCTAGCATTCATAGGCTGAGGCAGGGGGATCTTTAATTTGAGGCTAGCCTGACCACATAGTGAGACGCTGTCTCAAGATAACAAAAGATAGTAAAATAATTGTGGAGGAGGGGTGAGGTGATGGGTTGTTGGCTGCCCTCCCCAGCGCTACGTAAAAGTAGGTGAGCTGGTTCATACCTGTCATCCCAGTCCTGGGGAGGGGGGGAGGCAGGAAGACCAGGAACTCAAGGTCATCTTTGACTCAAGGAGTTTGAAGCCAGTCGGGACTACGTGGTGCCCGACTCTGCCTCAAAAACAGAATGGTATTGGAGACCTCGCCTTTAATCCCAGCACTTTGGGGGCAGAAGCAGGCCTATCTCTGTGAGTTCCAGGATAGCCTGATCTACATAGAGAGATACTTTAAAAAAAGAAAAGAAGAAAGATGGGCGTTGTCTTACAAAACTGGCTTTGGCTTAAGGCACAGTGAGGGGAGGTGGCTGGAGGACTGACATTCGGAAGACACCGTGGTAGTGGGTCTGCAGACACGTGCTGGGGGGGGTGCAGGTTTCAGAGACGTTGTCTCGAGGCCCCCAGCCAGGACCACCTACCCCACAGCTCCGGCTCGGTCCCACCGACCTTGGCTCCTGCCCGCCCTGTGGCCCGTGCCCTATCCCGAAACCCGCAGCAAGAGGCAGGCGCCAGGCAAGTGCCCAGGAGTGGGTGGGTGAGAGTCCGGAGCCACTCACTGCCTTTGTCCCTTGGTGGGGCGGGGACAGTGAACCCACTCAGTCCCACACACCTCTGGGTGTGCCACCACAGGGCCAAGACTGGGGCAAAAATGACCAGCGCCTGCTCCAGGCCGTGGAGAACAATGATGCTGCCAGAGTGGCCTCGTTGATCACCCACAAAGGGCTGGTCCCCACAAAACTGGACCCCGAGGGCAAGTCTGCGTGAGTGCCCAAGCCCTGGGACTGGGGTGGCTTTGGACACTCTTCTGGGAATGACCCCTAACTCATGCCTCTAGGTTCCACTTAGCGGTCATGAAGGGTGCCGTGGGCTGTCTGGAGGTGATGCTGGCTCAAGGCTCAGACGTCATGAGCACAGATGGAGCAGGTACTTCCGGACCCGCCCCTGGGTGGACGGCAGGATTTCCTTGGCTGTCCAGAGTAGGGTTCACATCAGGCTGTAGCTCCATGGGTAGGACACTCACCATGAGGGGAAGCCCTGGAGTGCATCCGTGGTGGGTGTACGCCTGTCATCGTCCCAGCAGCTGGTGTGGAGGCTCAAGATCAGGAGTTCAAGCAATTCAGCTTAGCTATATGTGCGCTGGAGGCCAACTTGTGTTATATGAGACTTTGTCAAAAATTAAAAATAAAATAAAAAAACCCTTAGTTCCAGGCCAACCTGGACTACGTAATGAGACCCTGTATGGAGAGGCAACAGACAGCAACCAAAAAGTTTACGGAGGCAGTGAGTTTTAAGAAGTAGTGAGTTTGGGGCTGGAGAGATGGCTCAGTGGTTAAGAGCACTGACTGCTCTTCCAGAGGACCCGGGTTCAATTCCCAGCACCCACATGGCAGCTCACAACTGTCTGTAACTCTAAGATCTGACACTTCACACCAATGCACATGAAATAAAGTTAAATAAACCATAAAAATATTAAAAAAAAGTAGTGAGTTTGGAAGCTGAGGCGCGGGAGGCCCCTGAGCACACCTGGAGGACACTTCCCATCTCTTCTACCCTCAGGTTACAATGCCCTTCACCTGGCAGCCAAGTATGGGCACCCTGAGTGCCTGAAGCAGCTCTTGGAGGTCCTGATGCTCATTCTCTGTCCACACGAAACTCCAGCTACTTCCTCAAACCCCAGCTACTCCCGGGCCCCCAGCTTGGTCCCTTCTGTTACCATCATCAAAATAGGGTCACCTGGGGAGGGGGCTGGAAGATGGGTTCTCAGGGAAAGAAGATGGGAGAGGGGAGAAAAAGAGCCAGAGAGGCTGGAGAGGCAGCTCAGTGGTTAGAACACTGTCTGTTCTCGTGGAGGACCGACGTGACGTTCGACTCCCAGCACCCATATGGAGGCTCATAACCATCTGTGACTGCAGCTCCAGGGGACCCTACTTGCCCTTCTGGTGTTCTCGGGAACTCATGTGCACACCCACAACACACATTGCACACACACACACACACACACACACACAACTAAAACATCTTAAAAATAGCGAATCTGTGAGCCGATGAGATGTCTCCGTAGGTACGAGTACTTGCCCCAAGCTTGCTCACCTGATATTGTTCACTGGGAACCTCAGGAAAGAGCAGTCTCCCACCGGGCAACATGCTGGGCCGAGTACCAGCAAGCACACACGCAGAAACAAGGGCAGTAGAGTCCAAAGGAGTAGGGAGGGCTGAAGAAATCAGTCACTCAGGGGATAGAGATTACATCACCTGTCACTATTTCCCAGGCTTCCTGCGTGGTGGACATTGAGGACAGCAGTGGGTGGACAGCCCTTCATCATGCAGGTGGGGTGCAACCAGGGCCTCCCAAATTCAAGGCAGGCTCCCTGGCAATGGATGATGCTCCCAGTCCCTCACTGGGGGATTCTAGGGGGGCTCCACCCCTGACCATAACCCCAGACCCTCACAGGGGGATTCTAGGCGGGGCTCCACCCCTGACCACGCCCCAGCCCCTCATTGGAGGATTCTAGGTAGGGCTCTCTATCTCTGACCTGCAGCTCTAGACCTTTTCTTAGTTTTTTTTTTCTTTCTTTGGTTTTTTGAGACAGGGTTTCTCTGTGTAACAGCCCTTGAAACTCCCTTTGTAGACCAGGCTAGGCTCAAGCTCACAGAGATCCGCCTGCCCCTGCCTCCCAAGTGCTGGGATTACTGGCATGTGCCACCACCGCCTGGCCTTTTCTTAGTTTTTGTGGATGAGTATTCATGTGGAAGTCAAAAGACAATCTGTGTAATTGTCATGTACTCTCCACCCCTTCTGTGAACTTGGTCTCCACAACTTAAGCTAGGTGATAGCAAACCTTGGGTCCTTCTGCCTCTTCCTCCCCCGCCCCCCCCCCCCCCCACCCCCGCCCCCGTGCTGGGGGTTGCATTGTGCACCTCCACACCTGACTTATGTTTGGGTGGAGCTTAGGTCACTTACGGACAGAGCCATTTTCTGAGCCCTCTCCCTACTTATTTTGATGCAGTCTGTAGCTCAGGCTAGCTCTGAAGTCTATAGTCCTCCTGCTTCAGCCTCTGAGTTGCTGGGGGACGGATGCGGGCCACCATCTCCAGTTGGTCACTTGTTCTGTGTGCAGCCTAAGGCTTAGCTCAAAGTACAGTCACCTTGTGAACCAGGCCCCTTTGCCCCATTGCACAAGAAGTTAGGCACCTGTACCAGTGGGGGACCCTATTTCTTGCACCCCAAAGCCTGGCCTGTGGGTGGACAGAGTAGGGTGGTTAGAACCCCAATTCCTTCCAAAATCCCCTGGGTGCCCTAAATACAGGCAGCTCCTCCACTCCCACTCCGTCCTCAGAGCAGCCAAGGACTGATTGCCGGGGGCCAGGAGCACAGGGTCCGGGCCTGCCCGCCCCTCCAGGCAGACCCTCCTGCCCAGGGGACAGCACTCTTGGCTTTGCTGTTAGTCACTAAGTCCCCAGTCAGAGTGGCACCATCAGGTGGCGTCCATGCCCACGGCACTCGAGGAGATGTCTTAAAAAGTTAAATCGTTTCGTTTATTCAACTGTGCCATGTGCTTGAGGGAGGTGGAGTGGGTTCTCTCTCCCGGCAGGTATGTCCTGGGGATTCAGCTCAGGTCAGTAGCCATGGCAACAGGCACCTTTACCAATTGAGCCATCTTTCTAGTCTGCTTTTTTTTTAATGTTTTTTTGTTTGATTTTAATTTTTTTAAGAAATGTATTTACATTTTTTTAATGTGTATGAGTGGTGTTTTGCTTGCATGCATGTCTGTGCTAGGCCAGAAGGGGGTGCTGGGTCTCCTGGAACTGGAGTTACAGATGGTTAGGAGCTACTACCACATGAGTGCTGGGAACCGAACCCAGGTCCTTTGCAACAGCAGCCAGAGCTTTAACCACTGAACCGTCACTCCAACCCTGAGATTTTAGTTGAGGTCTCATTTGGTAGCCCATGCTGGTCCCTAAGGTGCAACCATCCTCCAGCCTGGGCTTCCCGGCTGCTGGCAGAACCGGTGTCAGCCACCCCGCTGCAGAGTGAGTTCCAGCCCAGCCAGGCTGCAGACTGAGACCTGGTCTCTTGTCTTTCCCAGCGGCTGGTGGCTGTCTGTCCTGTTCAAAGCTGCTCTGCTCTTTCAAGGCACACATGAACCCCCGGGATCGGGTGAGCTGCTGGGATCTTGTGTGTGTGGGGGTACAGTACTAACCCTGCCGTAGTGAATCACTCATGCCATCTCATCCTCCCTACCAGTCGGGCGCCACGCCCCTCATCATAGCGGCCCAGATGTGTCACACAGATCTCTGCCGCCTCCTCCTGCAGCAGGGAGCTGCAGCAAACGACCAGGACCTGCAAGGCAGGTGAGCACCAGGCCTCCCGACCTTTCCAGCAGATGCTGTGTGACTTGGAGCAGGTATCTGGACCTCTCTGAGCTGCGGACCTAGGAACCCTCTTCCTGGCCTGGATGTAGAGTAGGGTTTAGGAGGTTTGGGACCAACGTCTGCTCCTTCAGTAGCCCTGTTTACCCCCACAGGACAGCCTTGATGCTGGCGTGTGAGGGGGCCAGCCCGGAGACCGTTGAAGTACTCCTGCTAGGTGGAGCCCAGGTGGGCATCACTGATGCCCTGGGCCAGGACGCCACTCACTACGGAGCCCTGACGGGGGACAAAGTCATCTTGCAGCTTCTACAGGAGTTTGCACAACGCCCTTCACCTCCCAGTGGTGTGCAAACCCTGCCTCTCCTATCTGTCTCCTTCTAGGCAGTTTCTGGTCATCCACTTATTCCTTTGTTACTGATAGTTCCAAGGTACCTCAATGCTGGGTCATGAAAATTTTCGTTTCCCCGTCTCAGGGCAGTTTCAAGGAGCTCCAGAGGACTCATGAGTGGTCCACTGTGATTTCTTGGGTCACCCTTAGTATGGAGACTGCCTTTCCTAAGAGATGACAGCCCACCCCACCCCCAACAGGGAAGTTCCACTGCCCCAGTCTGCGAGTTTTGAGGTCCTCCCCACCCAGCAGTCCACCCCCATAGGTTTCTACCTTAACGTTCCTGGACCAGAGGCTGGGTTTTGTGATGCACGACCAGGAGGCTAGAGAGCTTAGTCTGAGTTTAAGGCTAGCCTGGGCTGCAGAGTGAGACCCTCCTGGACGACAACAACAAAGCACTAGCACTTGGGAAGCTACTCTGGGCTGAGAACGCAGAAGGTGGTCCCTGACTTTGCTTCCGCTCTCCACAGCCTCTCTAGAGGATGACTCCGGAGAGGCCTCGTCTCAGGTAGGAACCCGGAAGGGCTGACAGTCCTCTGCCCGGTGCATGCACTCGCTGCACCCGCCCTCGCCTCCTCCTCCCCACCCCCCATCACCAGGAAAAGGCAGACCCGCGTGGACAGCGGTTCTGTCACCGTTATTCCGGGATCTGCTGCCGCCCAGTGGCGGTTACGTGAATACCAGCAGTGGAACTGGGAGGGGAGGTGGTTGCTAGCACGGCCACTTTACCTGCGGCTCTGATCTTCAGTGACTCGGGCTTCAAAGGGGATAGACGATGTCATAGAGGACTATAAAGCCAGGGAGAGGGTACACAGCGAATGGCTGGTGGGAGGTAGGACTAGTAGGGTGAACTTGGGGTTCATCACAGGAAGTCAGGAGGGAGCTGAGGCGGCTGACCGCTAGGGGCTGGCCAATTTGGATCCCCTGAGTGGATCCTGGCCCAGGCCCTGTGTCCGTATGCCCATGCCAGAACTCGGTGTCCAGCCATGAAAAGCAAGGGGCCCCCAAGAAGCGGAAGGCACCCCAACCTCCAGCCAGCATGCCTGTTCCCGTAAGAGATGGGGTAGCCTGGAGCGGGAGGGGGCTCTGCCTCACGCTCACGGTGGTGCAGCCTTGGAGACCTCACCTAAAGTGGCTTCCCTTGGTGGGGAGGGGACAGGACGACCAGGATGCTTATGAGGAGATTGTGCGTCTGCGCCAAGAGAGAGGCCGGCTCCTGCAGAAGATCAGGGGCCTGGAACAGCACAAGGAAAGGAGGAGAAAGGAGGTTAGGAGGCTGTAAGGCCTGCGGTCCGGGTGTGGGGAGCTATTCCTTGGGACACCACACCACCTGCCTTCCTCCCCTTCCTTCTTCCTCTGCTCCAGACACTGACCTTCCCACATGCCAGGCTCTGTCCTGCCCCAGGGCCTTTGCAGGAGAGAATTACTGTCTGTCCAGATGTCTCCAAGGCTCCTTCCTCAGTCTCTGCCTGTTACCGACCGACATTTCCCACTTTATTTAAAATCGTCCCGTCATTTTCAGGTTCCTTCATTTCCACCATAGAGCTCCACCACTCAAAGCCACGCCCCCGAGGGCAGGCTCAGCTGAAGGTGCCACGCTCAGAGTGGATAAACTCTGGGTGAATGACTGGCCCTTGGCGAGGAGTAAATGAATGAGTGAGTGGTCTGGAACAGGGTCTGCTGTGGAACAGGCTCTGGGCCAAAGCAACTTGAGCGAGCGTGCGAGAGAACAGAATGGGGTCCGGCACACAGCGTGAAAGCTCAGAGTGGTACACAGTAGGACTGACTCAGTGTAGGTGGAGAATAGTCATGGCTGTCAGACACTAGGTGGCGCATGACTATCCAGCTCTGTCCTGCTCTGTCCAATCCCAACCGCTTCTACCTGCAGCCCCTGGAGGCAGAGGCCAGTTCAGTGCACAGCCTGGAGAGGCAGGTAGGTGGGGAGGACCACTGCTTGGGAGGGTCCTGGGTCCTCAGGTCCTTAAGTGCTGACCTTGTCCTCTGCAGGTGCACGAGCTGCAGCAACTGCTGGCAGAGAAGCAGGAAGAGAAGGAGAGTCTGGGCCGGGAGGTAGAGAGCCTGCAGAGCCGCCTGTCCCTTCTGGAGGTGGGCGGGGCCACGGCGGGCGTGGCCAGAGGGTTTAGGGTGTTGCAGTGCGGACAGGGCAATAAACTGGGTGGGCTGGAGTCAGAGTCTGGGGGCGGGACCAGAGGCTGGGTGGAGTCAGAGGCTGGAGGTGGAACCAGAGGCTGGGTGGAGTCAGAGATTGGGGTCGGGACCAGAGGCTGGGTGGAGTCAGAGATTGGGGTCGGGACCAGAGGCTGGGTAGGCTGGAGTCACAGGCTGGGGGCAGGACCAGAGGCTGGGTGGAGTCAGAGACTGGAGGTGGGACCAGAGGCTGGGTAGGCTGGAGTCACAGGCTGGGGGCGGGACCAGAGGCTGGGTGGAGTCAGAGACTGGAGATGGGACCAGAGGCTGGGTAGGCTGGAGTCACAGGCTGGGGGCGGGACCAGAGGCTGGGTGGAGTCAGAGACTGGAGGTGGGACCAGAGGCTGGGTAGGCTGGAGTCACAGGCTGGGGGCGGGACCAGAGGCTGGGTGTGGTTGGAGCCTGGAAAGGGAATAGAGGTGTGGGGAAAGTCTGAAGACAAGGATGGCGGGGTTGGGTGTGCCATCATCAAAGTGTGTGGAGCCAGTGTTGTGGATGGGAGCAAGGTAAGGGGTCACTGCAAAGGGCTGGGCCAAAGACAGGAATGGGAAGGACCAGGGCAGGGGTGGGTGGAGTCAGGGTGGGCGGGCAGATTTTCGGTCAGTGTCAGGTGGGTCTTTTGACATGCCAGAGCTTCATTCAGGAACCATGGTGCATCCACAATGTCCCGACTACACATGACTTCCACAAAGCCACATATCTATGAAGATTTCTCCAAACACACACATATGCCAAGATGGCAGCCACACTGACACAGGCATCCCACATGTCCCACACATATAAACCTCCCAGTCACACACAGACCACACCCCTCAAACCTTCACCCAGATGCTGCTCAAAGTGTGCAGTTAGAATCAGCGAGATGCCCATCCTACTGACCTGAGTTCACGTCCCCACAGGATGGAAGGAGAGAACCAATTCTCTCACTGCCACCTATGCCCTGTGGCATGTGTGCATCCCCGTGCGGTTGCTCACAAAAGAAACAAAATGTGGCAAAATATCTACGAGCATGCATAGAGACCATCCTCTATTGGGCAGCTGCTTTGATTCAAACCCAGAGCCTTGATCATATGCTGGGCATATCCTCAGTGGGGAATGCTTGCCCGGCATGTCCAAAGGCCCTGGCCCACCCCAGCATCCTAGTAGAACATGGAAGGGCATGTTGGATGCTCTGTGAATACAGCCACTACCAGTCGGGTGACTCCAGAGTGTTGTATAGATATGCGAACACCCCAGTTTTGGGAGGTAATGATGATATCAAGGTGCAGGACCTGAAGGTCGACTTTGTACCCCACTGCTAGAATGATAGAGAGAACACCAGCTACGATGTGGTCACCCTGCAGGACGAGGAGGCTGAGATGCCTGACTTTCCAGGTGAGTTCTGAGCCCCTTCACCCCCTCACTGCTCTCCATCTGGGATTCTGAGGCGTTTGGGGGGGCAGAGCCATGACCTTATGTGGAGGGGCGTGATGCCAGGAGAGTGGCAATGCACTGTGAGCTCCCCTTCCCCCTCCTCAGTTGCCGTAGGTAGTGCTAGGTCCCCTGCTGCATGGCTCCTGCCTCTGATATCGTGTGCTGCCAGCCTGACTCCGTGTTCTCCCCGACCCTGCCAGGAGCTGATGCGCTGTTGTCAAAGCAGCAACGTCTGTCAGCTGACGAGCTGGTGGCATCCCTGCAGGAGCAGGTGGCTCAGCTCACCAGGCAGAACCAGGAGCTGTTGGAGAAGGTCCAGGTGGGGAAACTGAGGCAGTGTACAGATCTGGGGACCTTGGGGTGGGCGGGGAACATGGTGAGGCTGTCTCTTAGCCTGCCTGTCTCGCCACCCCCAGATCCTTGAGGAGTTTGAGAAGGACGAGGTGCAGATGGTGGAAGACAATCAGCCTGAAGTGGTCCCTCTGGTCTTGTATGATACTCTGAGGACAGAACTTGAGCAGCTCCGGAGGCAGCACACAGAGGCCATGCAGGCACTGCAGGAGCAGCGGGAGGTGGCCAGGGGTCATGGAGAAGAGACAGTACAGAAGGAGAGCAGGGACAAGGGAACCACCACCCAGAATGGTCCTAGCGTCCCGGAGCTCAATGGTATCACATATCCAGAAACCCCAGCAAACGGCACCACGGAACCCCAAGCAGGAGGCTGCTTGGGCACCGGGAACACAGAAGCCAGTGCTTCAGAAGTGACACCTATAGAGCCCGAGGCTGCAAGTTCAGAGGCCACGGGGAAAGATGCTGCGGCAGACGAGACTGTGGACACGAGAACCACTGGGGCTCAGGCCCTAGACGTGAAAGCTGTAGGTGACGAAGCTGAAAGAGAGCCGGTGGTGGCGGAAGCCATGGGAGGGAAAGGGAATCCAGGCATGGTGCAGGAGGGGCTCCTCGGCACAGGGATTAGAAACACGGAGGCCACGGGAGCAGAATTGCGGGATACCGGAGTTCAGGCCACAGCAGCAGAGTCCACGGTAGTGAAGACCACGGGAGTGCAGGCCACAGTGGCAGAGGTCATAGGAGTGAAGGTCACAGGAGTGCAGGTCACAGCGACAGAGGACACAGTAGTCAAGGCCACTGGAGCTGAAGCCCCGGGAGCAGAAGCCAAGGGTGCGCAGGCCACTGTGACTGAGGCCAAGGGAGCTGAGGTTTCGGAAACTCAGGCCACCACCCTGGAAACCACGGGAGCAGAGGAGGCCACGGGGTCACAAGCCATGGCCGTAGAGACCACAGGCGCGCAGGATACTGTGACAGAGGCCAACGGAGCCGAGGCCGTAGGACTCAAGGCCTCGGAAGCCGAGGCCGCTTGCACGGAGGGTCCCAGTGCTGCGGCCTTGCACCCGGGGGCAGCGGCAGCGGCGGCGGCGCTGCAGGCCGAGCTGGAGACCCGAATCCGCGGCCTGGAAGAGACGCTTCGCCTGCGGGAAAGGGAGGCGGCGGCCGAGCTGGAGGCCGCCCGGGACCGATTTGCGGAGGCTGAGGAGGCGGCACGGGGTAGGAGCCGCGAGCTGGAGACGCTGCGGGAGCTGCTGGCCACGGCCACGGCCACGGGGGAGCGCGCACGCGAGGAGGCCGCCGAGCTGCGCCGAGCGCTGACGGCCTCAGAGGCTCGGGCTGCCGAGCTCAGCTCCGCGCACGATGCGGTCCGCGAGGAGCTCGAGCGCGTGCGCGGGGCCTCGGTGCCTGCGGACGAGCACGAGCAGGCGCTGGGCGCGCTGCGCGACCACGTGACCCGGCTGCAGGCGCAGCTGGAGGAGCTGGCGCGCAAGCACGAGAGGACGAGCGCCGAAGTCTTCCAGGTGAGCGCAGGCGCCAGGGAGGCCCAGAGAGGGCGTCGGATCTCCCGGAACTTTGGATTTGCACACTTGAGCCAAAATGTGGCTGCTGGGAACCGAACCTTGGTCTTGCGCCTGAGCAGCCACCTCTCCAGCCCGTAATATTTCTATTTAGATTTAACTGATTATTCTTTCCTTATGTGTGTGCACACACAGTATGGCGTGAAAGTCAGATGGCAGCCGGTGGGACCCAGTCTTGTCCTTTCACCATGTGGGTCCTGAGGACCAAACCCAGGTTGTCAGGCTTGGCTGCAAGTGCCCTTACCCGCTGAGCCATCCCCAAACCCTGGCCTTTTTGTTTGTTTGTTGTTTTGTTTTTATGAGTTTGTTTTGTTTTTATTAGTGTGTGTGTGTTTTGAGACGTCTCTCTCAGTTGCCTAGGCTGCCCTTGAACTCATGATGTAGCCCTCAAACTCTTGATCCTCCTGCCTCAGCCTCCTGAGTACCTGGACCTCACTCGGGCATCACTGAGTGAGGAAGCTAGAACCCAGGACCTGAAGGTTCCTAGGGTTGGGTGGGGAGGTGGAAAGCCATCAGCTTGACATGAGAGGGTGGGGAGAGCCCCAGGATCCAAGCCTCTTTGGGGTCTAAATGTCCCGAGAGTCACGCGTGGGCTTGGGCCACAGGTGCAGCGGGAGGCATTGTTTATGAAGAGCGAGAGGCACGCGGCTGAGGCCCAGCTGGCCACGGCCGAACAGCAGCTCCGGGGGCTTCGTACAGAGGCCGAGAGGGCACGCCAGGCGCAGAGCCGTGCCCAGGAGGCCCTGGACAAGGCCAAGGAGAAGGACAAGAAGGTGGGTTCCCTCCTGCTCTCTGTTGGGGCCCACTCAGCCGAGGTTACACACCTGAAGAACCTCGTAGCCGTCACTGTCTTGTGAAGCCAGCCCATTTATCAATGGCAAGAGTGAGACAGAGAAGAGTCTCAGCTAGAGCCGCTATGGGTGTTGATGCTCCAACTGCTCATTGTAACCATCCTAACTGGTATACTGCTCTAATCCCCATTTGAAGTAACAGGCACAGAGAGGTAAATCCAGTTACACAAGGTCACACAGCAATAAATGGATCACATGCCGGCATTTGAACCCAATTTTCCCGGAGCCTGTAATGTTTAGAAGATTTTAAAATTATATGTATTTCTTTAGTTGGGGGTTGGGGCATGCCTGTGTGGAGGTCAGAGGACAACTTGCCTAAATCCGTCTTCTCATTCAACAATGTGGGTCCCAGGGGTTGAACTCAGTAGAGAGACAAGAGAGAGGCTTGGCCCTAAGTGCCCTGGCTCCCGCATGTGAGCCAACTGACCAATTGTGTCATTTCTGTGTTCTCTGTGTACAGGTGCATGTGTGCAGGTCACAGGTCAGCCTTGGGCCTCCCTGCAACCTGAGCTGAAAATCCAAGTTGTTTTTATGGCTTACTGACTGTAACCAGGCAGCTCTAGAACCTGCTGTTTCCCAGATGAGCTGACAGGGTGTTTTTCTGTGACAGGCCAAAAATGACAAAGTATCTGCTAATCTGTATGTTGTCTGCTTCCTGTTGCTGTGAGCAGACAGACGTGTTGATAAAACTTTATTGATGAATATAAAAGTGTGATTTGGAATCCCTTCAAGGGTCACAAAATTGATCTATTTTCTCCCCCCAAACATTTAAAAGTTCAAGGAGTCGGGCGGTGGTGGCGCACGCCTTTAATCCCAGCACTCAGGAGGCAGAGGCAGGCGGATCTCTGTGAGTTCGAGGCCAGCCTGGTTTACAGAGTGAGTTCCAGGACAGGCTCCAAAGCTACACAGAGAAACCCTGTCTCGAAAAACCAAAAAAAAAAAAAAAAAAAAAAAAAAAAAAAAGTTGTCAGCTCTTCGGCTTTACAGATACAAGTTCCCAGTCAGCTCAGCTCCTGGCCCAGATCTGTGACCCTTTATGAAACTGCCCAGTAGAGGTGCAGAGGTCCCTGGTCCCTGCCTGGCCGCTCAGAGTTCCTCCACCCTTCCAGATCACAGAACTGTCCAAAGAAGTCTTCTCACTGAAGGAGTCTCTGAAGGCGCAGCAGGCAGCCCCTTCCAGCTCTGAGGAGGAGGAAGCCCTCCGTGGCCAGGTGGCAGCCTTGCAGCAGCGCATGGAGGTACAGCTCTGCGGCAGGGGAGGGGTGAAGGCAGCCACACGGGGAGCAGTCGCCGTCCAGACCAGGGGGGGCGGTGTGGCTGGCAGGATCCAGTCTGGCCAGGGCACCTCAGGGGCATGGGGTTTTGACTCAGGTGGAGGGACATGGGTGTGTCTCGCCGCGGATGGGCCTCCCCTTCCAAATCCTCTTCCCACTCTCCCCTCCCACTCCCATTTCCTCCCTCCTGCCTGTCTTTTAAGGCAGTGTCTCCTGTAGCCCAGGCTGACCTCAAAATTCCTATGTAGCCAAGGATGACCTTGAGCATCTGATCCTTCTGCCCCCCCCTTCTCTGTCTGCAGGAGGAGGCCCGGGAGCACGGTGCCGTGGTGGCTTTATACCGTACCCATCTCCTGTATGCCATTCAGGTGAGTGCCCGCCTCCTGACTCCATCTCAGGGGGCCAATCCAGCCTCAGCCTTCCTCCGCCACTGCCTGGGCCTGTTTCCTCTCTGTTCTGGGATAGCCTTGTGGCTTCTGGGAACATCCCCGTGTACAGACCTGTCTTGTGGAGTACTGAGTCCCTTGGGTTTGTGTAGGGGGATTTCTAGGGCACAGGGGAGCACCCAGCTGGAGCACCAGAGTCTCTCTGCCGCTATCCATCCCTACTCTACCGCAGGGACAGATGGATGAGGACGTCCAATGCATTCTCAGCCAGATCCTGCAGATGCAGCGGTTGCAGGCTCAGGGTCGCTGAGGACACAGCTGGGTTCTTCCCTCTCCGTCCTTCACCACTGTAAGCTGAAGCCACAGAGACCACCTTCCCTTTCCCATGCCGCAGGGTGCTGAACGGACTCAGCAGGCTCTGGGAGCCAGCCTGGGACCTTACCCATCACTCCACAGCTTACAGCACTCCCCATCTGATGGTACAACTCCCACTATGCCATCTGTATCCCACCCACCCACCCAGGAGTGTAAACTCACTGCAAGAGGGAGACGTAACCGCTGGGCGAGGGCAGGGATGGCGCAGGGGTTCAGATGATAGTCTGATATTCTGGACTCAAAACAGTTATAGCAATAAATATGAATGCAATGCCGTATTTGAATAAACCAGGGGATAGTGTTGTGGCTCAGAGGTGGAGTCCTGCGGAGAATACCCCGTGAGGGGCTGGTGTCACGGGGTAGGGCAGCATGGGTGTGTGGGTTCGCACGGGTCCGTGAAATAAAGACTCTGAGATTCTTGAGAATGAACCTAGCCTTTGAGGCCGCAGGGGCTCAGCCTCTTTGGACTGAAGCTTTCCCTTCGCCTCTTGGCATTTTAATTTTTTCCTATGTTTATACTTTAGCTAGTAGATTTCCATATCTCAAACCGAGTGGAGTGTCCACACTACATTGCCAAGTGCAAATACCTGATTTATGAGGTACCACGGTTTTCTGGGTTTCCCCATAGCCAAGTCTGCCTAGGCTTTGTATCCATGGGAACCTCTCAGATGAGATTCACACAGGGCAACAAAAGGTATCTGTAACACAAAGGATGGGTTAGGGGCTGGGCACTAACGCCAGAGCTACACCAGGTACCTGGCCCAATGGCGGTGCCAGCCCAGCGGAGGCGTGGTCAAGGTGGAGCCCGGCCTTTGCTCCAGAGGCAGTGAGACCTGGGAGTGGAGCTGATATTTTAGGTGGACTAAAATCCAATGCAATAGCTAATGTTTTTCAAAGTCCCTGACAATATAATGTCTGAGGGTTAAGAAAGGTTTTGTGACGACAGCCAAGGCTGCGGGAAGAAAGTTTGTCTGCAAATACCAAAGGAATAAAGTTCTGGTAAGTTCAAGTTCTATACAGTCACAAGGACGTGTCCCACACGGCAAAAACACAAACTCTAGACAGTCACAAGGATGTGTCCCACGTGGCAAAAACAAGATTTTCCACAGAGGCGCAAACATTCTATTGAATAACAGCATCAAGCAATAATGGATAATCTAAATAGATTCACTCCTATCCTCTGCACCTGGGAGGAGCACAAACACACATTCCTAGAATGATTCCAGTTTTGTTTTGTGTGTGTTTTTGGAGTCAGTGTTTCTCTGTAGCTTTGGTGCCTGTCCTGGAACTAGCTTTGTAGACCAGGCTGGTCTCGAACTCACAGAGATCCGCCTGCCTCTGCCTCCTGAGTGCTGGGATTAAAGCTGTGCGCCCCCATCGCCCGGTAAGAATTTTTTTAAGTTTACAAAAAGGATAGAAATATTTTAGATATGTTAGCACTATCACTGTTTGCAATCTGTAACTCAAATCCACATTGTAGAAAAGGCAGACTCATGCCTTTGAGACATAATAAAAGCTTGGGGACCCAAAAATGATTCTAAATAAAAGCATTAACACTCTGTCCAGAGGGATGGATATATGTATTTGACAGATTTCTTTTAACACAAGTGACAAGCACTTTTACGTCTACACACAGGAGACAACCAAAGCAAATTTAACATCTTGAGCTTATGACTGATAAGAGTGCTCTGTGCTTTCCCAGCTTGTCAGGACTCCATTGGTCGATGTTGACATTTTAAACAAGTTTTAGTATGAGCATAGCATAGAGGGGAAAGAAATCTGAAACAGTTTGTAGCTTGTGCACTTGGGCTTTCATAGCCTCAGATCTGTGCATACCATGGTGATTTCAATAAAAATGGCCCCCATAGGCTCACGGGGAGTGGCACTATTGGGAAATGTGGCTGTGCTGGAGGAAGTGTGTTACTGAGGGTGGGTTCTGAGGTCTCAGATGGTCACTCCTGGCCAGTGTGTCACTATGTCTTCCTGCTGCCTGCTGATCTGGATTTAGAACTCTCAGGTTCCTGCCTCTCTGGCACCATGTCTGCCCACATGCCAACCTCCATGATGATAATGGACTAAACCTCTGGACTGTAAACTGGCCCCAACTAAATGTTTCCTTTCTAAGAGCTGGCATGGTCCTGGTTCCTCTTCACAGCAATAGGAACTTAATTAACTAAGACAGAAGTTGGTACTAAGGACTGGGTATTCCTATAATAGGACTGATGGGGTTGAGTCTTCTGGCTTGTGTTAATTTCATTGGTTAAGTAATAAAGAAACTGCTTGGCCTCTGATAGGACAAAAAATTAGGTAGGCAGAGTAAACAGAACAGAATGTTGGGAGAAAGAAGCTGAGTGGAGGAGTCGCCATGATTCTTCCACTCCAGGCAGATGCAGGTTAAGATCATTCCTGGTAAGCCAGCTCGTGGGCTACACAGATTATAAGAAATGGGCTAGTCCAGGTGTGAGAGTTAGCCGAGAAATGGCTAGATATAATGGGCCAAGCGGTGTTTAAAAGAATACAGTTTCCGTGTAATTATTTCAGGGCATAAGCTAGCCATGTGGGCGGCCGGGTGCTGGGGACACAGCCCCACTGCTCCTACTACTACATAGGACAAACCTTGCTTTTGTTTGGAGGAATGAAGACCTTGGAACTTTGGGTTAAAAAGCAGCTGAATGCTTTAAGTGCTGATTCTAGTAGGAACATGGAAGACAGTGCTGAGGGTGATTTGGACTATGGGTTACTGGCTCAAGGGGTTTCAGAGGAGACTATTAACATATGACCTAGAGATCATTCTAGAGAACAGCTTGAATGAGACCCATATGATTAGCAGTTCTGCTACCTTATAAGCTTATACATGTTTTTAATAGGACTACTAATGTAATGATGCCTTTCGCAAACAGGAAGAAATTTGAATCCAAAGAATTAAATACAATCCCTTCTTCAGATGGATGAATGAGTCTATTATGGACCCAAGGTTGAATCATAAACACTTTAGTAAAGATAACAGGAGCTGGATCCATCCAACCTACAAGTTGAAGTAGAGTAACATAAGTCCAATACACCTGTTCAGAGGCACTTACCACAGATGAAGCAGGTCATATCACCAGAAAAGATTCTCAGGTGACATAGGGTTCTGTGTATTTCATGGAATAACTACTCCATTTGTGTATAGGGCCTTAACTTGGCCTCTGGTGGGTAGACATGAATACTGATGGTATGTTCAATGTTTGCTTTGCCCTTTAGATGGAGGTTGGCTATCTTTCTGGTGACTTCCACTAACTTCTCACCCTCTACCATTGTCCTTGATGGCCAGGAGCCAGAGGAGCTGAAGAGGAATCTGTAATGACTCAGTGCATAAATTGCTAATGACAGACGCATCCACTTCCCAATTTTCTTCAGCCAACTGAGATTCCACATCTCAAATTGTTTAAACCACACAGGCTAATTTAAAGGCAGTTCAGAATGTTCTATAAAGAAATGAATTTTAGGTGTCAAACATATATCACCTGGAGGCAAATTTTAAAAATCAAGAGTAAGAAAAAAAAATCAAGAGTAAGTCAGGTAGCACTCCTTTAATCCCAGCACTTGGGCGGCAGAGGCAGGAGGCTCTCTATGAGTTCAAGGCCAGCCATGCCTACACAGGCTCCAAAGTGACGTAGAGAAACCCTGTTTTGACCCTCCCCCACCTGCAAAGAAGAGTAAATAAGTGCAAGAATACCTTTTGGTGCTCCTTTTTTTTATATATTTTATTTATTTATTTATTTATGATGTATACAATATTCTGTCTGTATGCCTGAAGGCCAGAAGAGGGCGCCAGACCTCTTTACAGATGGTTGTGAGCCACCATGTGGTTGCTGGGAATTGAACTCAGGACCTTTGGAAGAGCAGGCAATGCTCTTAACCACTGAGCCATCTCTCCAGCCCGGTGCTCCTTTTTTTTAAATTTACTTTTTTTTCATTTTTTTGAGACAAGGTTTCTCTATGTAACTCTGTGGGATCCCACAGCGACTCTATTTCCATCTTGATTTTAGGTCAGAGAGTTCAAGTTTGTCAAGGCCAAATAACAGGATGTTTGACTAAGGGTGTGGTATTAGATGTTTCAAGTATTAAGGAGGTAACTACACTTGTTTTTTCCTTGTATCATGGGAAGTATTACCCCCCCCCCCCCTTTGCCTTGGGTATAAAAGAATGATGAGAAATAAGCTCGAGGCTGCTACAGTATTCACTGAGAGCCCTCCTGACTCTGTCTTCTACCTTCTTTCTCATATCTTTCTTTTCTCAATCCTCACTCCCCTTTTCAGACACATTCAACAGGTCAGCTGGTTCTGACAACTCTGGCTATTCTGGAACATTCTCTGTAGGCTGGCCTTTGCCTCCCAACTAAAGGCCCGCACTATCATTGCCCAGCTCTTTTATTTTCCAATAATTGTTTTAGTGTTCTACGTGCTCCTTGAGGATTATAAGAAATGCCTGTAACATGATTAACATTCCATTCCTTACTGTACATAGGCTGATCCACTGTTAGATTTTATAAAAGCAGTCATTCCCTCATCAGCAAATGTTTGTATAATAGAAAAGCAAAGCAGAAGCATTCTCTGAGGACTGAGGAACTGCCCAAAGAATTTTGGAATATGTATCGCTGTGTGCAGGTATGGCACCTGAGGGACAAGAACAAAGTGGATGGCATTCATTTGCCATAATTCATTAGTACTTTTAACTCTGGGAATACCTTCAGCTACATGTGACCATGACGGTGCAGGAGAGCACAACTGGGGCATTCCTGTACACGAGGTCGATAGTATCAGTGTGCAGTGTTGATATTCCTGTTATAGAGAAGTGAACACTGGGCAGGTTCATGTGTAAGCTTGCTTCTTTATCTCTGCAATGAAGACAAGGAGGTTCAAAGGTGCATGGGTATGACTAATAAACAAAGGATGTGTGAAGACTTTTAACCTGATGTGGTTCCTGTGGTGATGGGAACCCAGCAGGATGTGAAGACAAAACTGAAGCAGGTTCTGTTGCTGAGGACAACCCAACTATATAAGCAGAATCGGAAAGGATAAGTCGTAAACATTGATTGTTAGGAGAAATATCATAAAGAAGAATATTAATGAACACACTTAGCATTTTCTGACCATTATGGTGTAAATATTTTCATTCCACAGGTTTATCTTCTGGTGCTATAATACCTATAGAAGACAAAGTAGTGGGGAAAATAAGTTTTTTTTTCGTAATTTATTTATTATGTATACACGTATATGCCCGCAGGCCAGAAGAGGGCACCAGACCTCATTACAGATGGTTGTGAACCACCATGTGGTTGCTGGGAATTGAACTCAGGACCTTTGGAAGAGCAGGCAATGCTCTTAACCACTGAGCCATCTCTCCAGCCCGAAAATAAGTTTAAAGGCAGTGTCTTAGCTAGGGTTTCTATTGCTGCAACTGAAATACCATGACCAAAAAGCAAGTTAGGGAGGAAAGGGTTTATTAGGCTTACACTTCAGTTCATGACAAAAGGAAGTCAGGACATAAACAAAGCAGGATCCCAGAAAAAAGGAGCTGATGCAGAGAACATGGCGGGTGCTGATACTGGCTTGCTTCCAATGGCTTGCTCAACCCACCTTCTTATAGAAGCCAGGACAACCTGCCCAGAGATGGAAATACAATGGGCTGGGCCATCCCTCAATGACCAGCAAATGAGAAAATACCGTACAGTTGGATC